TTATTGATGATTTTTCATGATATACTTGGATTTACCTTATGCACTCTCGTGCTGAAGTGCCTAAACTTGTACAACAGTTCCATGAGCACATACTCACTCGGTTTAACACCCACATCAAAATATTCCAATCGGACAATGCTAAGGAATATTTGGAGGACCTTACCTCCTATCTTGAGAAGTTTAGGGTTGTCATCAGAGTTCTTGTGCCCACACTCCACACCAAAATGGAGTAGCGGAGAGGAAAAATAGACATTGTGGAAGTTGCAAGGAGCATCCTTTTTGCTACCCATGTTCTTGTGAAGTTTTGGGGTGATACAGTTTTAACAGCTACCTACCTTATTAACCGCATGCCTTCTCGAGTCTTGGGGTTAAAATCTCCTTTTGGACTTCTCTTTCCTGGTGTTGAGATTTTCTCCATTCCTCTGTGGATCTTTGGTTGCACTTGCTATGTCCACATTCTTAGTTCTAAGAGACATAAGTTTGACCCCAAGGCTCAGAAGTGTATCTTCCTTGGTTATGCCTCCACATAGAAAGGGTACTGTTGTTTTGATCCCGTTAGTGGCACCCGGTTTGTTCACATGGATGTCACCTTTGCAGAGTTAGTTCCTTTTTATATTCGTCCTTTTGAGGGGGAGAGATCTCTTGAGTTGTTTTCTTCCTCCCTTCCTTTGCTAACTCCAATTGAGTCTTGTGTTGAGCCCTCTAGTTACCCCCATTCCCATGTAGGGATCCTCTCCTTTGAGGTCTTCCATTCCTACTCCTCCCCCTCCTCTTGCTAGTCCTCCCATTTTTACCACCTATCCTATTCTCTAGAGGTGGTACTAGTGGCAAAGGCTAGGGCAAACAGAGGTTGATCCCATGCCTCTAGTCGAGTCTCAGGTGCTTCCAATTATTGAAGACAGGACATGTCCATCACCTCCTCCACCAACACCCTTGTTTCTAGACCTTGATCTATCCATGTCTTTGAGAAAAGGTATGAGGAAATGTACAACTCATTGTATTTCCAAACACCTTTCCTACAGCTTGTTGTCCCCATCCTACTATGCCTTTCTAGCCTCCATTTCCTCTCAACCCATCCCAAATTCTATTTTAGAAGTCTTAGCCACACCAGAATGGAGGGATGCAATGAGGACTAAAATAGAGGCCCTTCATAAAAACAATACATGGGATATTGTTGACTTGCCAGTTGGGAAGGAACCTGTTGGGTGCAAGTGGGTTTTCACTATCAAGTATTGTGCAGATAAGTCAATTGAGAGGTATAAGGCTCATTTTGTTGCTAAAATGACTTCGGTGGGAGTTCTTTTATCCTTAGCAGTGAGCTATGATTGGCCTTTGTATTAGTTTGATGTTAAGAATACATTCCTGAATGGTGATCTCACTGAAGAGGTATATATGTCCCTTCCTCCTAGTATATATGGCAAGGAGATGCAAGGTAAGGTGTGCAGATTAAAGAAATCACTTTATGGCCTGGAACTTTCTCCACGTGCTTGGTTTGACAGGTTTAAGGCTGCCCTTGTTCAGTTCGGCTGCACGCAGACTCAATCAGATCATACCCTCTTTGTTAAGAGAAGAAGCACCCTGGTGACATTCCTTATTGTTTATATAGATGATATTGTGGTTACTGGCAGTGATATAGAAGATGTTAGTGCTTTCAAGAAGTTTCTCAATTCTGAATTTGAGATCAAAGACTTAGGAGGGTTGCGGTATTTTCTTGGCATTGAGGTTGCTAGGTCCAAGGAAGGTGTCTTTATTTCTCAGCAGAAGTATAAAGGGATGAGAGATCCATCCTATGGACGCCCAAAGATTGCGGAATAAGGGGCGAATTTCAAAAATTTTATCTCTCCCTTCAACTGGGAATCGTATTCCCTATTTAGAAAATCATATTTTCAAGGATCAATCTTGAACCATAAACTGAACCAGATCTGAACCAAAAGGAGTGGGAGAGGAT